TTCACATGTACCCCAAAACCTAAAATGCAATAAAATAAATAAATGGGAAAAATAAATAAATAAATCTCAAAAAAAAAAAAAAAAAAAAAAAAAAAGAACTGTGATAGAGAATGCCGTGGGGCACAGAGGGGGTCATGAATAAAAAGGCTTCACAAGCTCCTAACACTCAACTTTGGCTCAACTTTCTGTTCATACTCTCACCCTGTGCTCTTTGACTTGAATCTTTCACTCTGATTTTGAACTTTAATGTTTGCATCACTCCTGGTTCTAGATTTTAGTTCCCAAATCTGTCTGAATAGCTGAAATAGCTGAAAAACTTCTAGGGGTACAGGCTTCCAACAATCCCCCACATCAAATACTCCAATTCTACAGATATGAGGAATAAGCCTAAGAATCTATATTGTTGTTGTTGTTGTTATTATTATTATAATTATTATTGAGATGAAGTCTTGCTCTATCGTCCAGGCTGGAGTGCAATGGCATGATCTCAGCTCACTGCAACCTCCGCCTTCCAGGTTCAAGTGATTCTCCTGCCTCAGCCTCTGGAGTAGCTGGGATTACAGGGGTCTGCCACCCCTATGGGCTAATTTTTTTGTGTTTTAGTAGAGACAGGGTTTCACCATTTTGGCCAGGCTGATCTTGAATTCCTGACTTCATGTGATCCGCCCAATTTGGCCTCCCATAGTGTTGGGATTATAGGCATGAGCCCCACACCCAGCAGAGAATCTGTATTTTTAAATGACCCATTAAATGACTCTGAGTCCAGGCAGATTTGGGAACCATTAAGCTACTTGATTTTAGTCTCAATTTTACAACTACATCTCAGTTTATACACTGTCCTTATGTCTAGCTCTACCTACAGAACAACCTAATGGAGAAAATGAGGAGAAAAGCAGGTCATTGTGATGTGTATGAGTTTTGGAAAACACTACCATTAGATACGAGAAGCCAGTTAAAGAGTTTTAGGAAGAGATGCAGACATTCAAGAAAGTCAAACAATTTCAAGAGAAAGGAAAGACCATAAGTTCTATAAAATTTATGCTTATTTGTACCAGGGACTACTTTAAATGCTTTACACATAGGTCTGCCATCTTGCACAATTCCACATAGAACGCAATGTGAATTGCAACAGCCCTAACATATTTATGATGTCATTTAATGTTTCTAAAAGTTCATGCCATTTCAATGTAATAAAATACACCATTATTATCATCTCATTTTATAAATGAGGAAGCTGAGGTACAGAAGGGTGTGAAAATTCTCCCTAGCCCACTCAGCTAACAAGAGGCAGAGCTGGCATTGGAAGGTGGACCGTCCAACTCCAAAGCAGATGCTGAACCATTTAGCAGTAAGTTGCTCAATGTTCATCTTAAAGTAATTCCACAGATGAGTAAGGAGAAGACAGATTTAAAGGAGTTAACAACATCTATTGATTTTGTGATTATTTGCTATTTACATTAAAGGTGGGCAAACCCAGCTTAAAAGTATTTAGGCTGGTTTCCAATTTTGCTGTGATTTGTACCTCACCAAGTGACAAAGTAGATTGCAGTGTAAATGAAATGCCATGGTTGAATCTGCCCGAAAAGCTGACACTTTCTGATTGTAAATCCT